GGGTCCTGACTTCTGCTCGGCACAGTCCTGGCTACTTTGGCCATTTGGGGAGTGAACCAATGCAAGGAAGATTCTACGTGTACTTCTGTCTTTCAAATGAATGAAAAAAAATTCTAAATCTTAAAAAAAGTTAATTTTTGGGCCTGGCGCGGTGGCGCAGTGGTTAAGGTCCTCACCTTGCACGCCCGGGATCCCATATGGGCGCTGGTTCTAATCCCGGCAGCCCCGCTTCCCTTCCAGCTCCCTGCTTGTGGCCTGGGAAAGCAGTCGAGGACGGCCCAAGGCTTTGGGACCCTGCACCCACGTGGGAGACCTAGAAGAGGCTCCTGGCTTCGGACTGGCATAGTATCGGCCGTTGTGCTCACTTGGGGAGTGAATCATCGGACGGAAGATCTTCCTCTCTGTCTCTCCTCTCTGTATATCCGCCTTTCCAATAAATAAATAATAAAAATAAATCTTTAAACAAAAAAAAAGTTAATTTTGGGGGCCCGGCGCGGTGGCGCAAGTGGTTAAGGTCCTCGCCTTGCACGCCCGGGATCCCATATGGGCGCCGGTTCTATCCTGGCAGCCCCACTTCCCTTCCAGCTCCCTGCCTGTGGCCTGGGAAAGCAGTCGAGGACGGCCCAAAGCTTTGGGACCCTGCACCCGCGTGGGAGACCAGGAAGAGTCTCCTGGCGATCTTCCTCTCTGTCTCTCCTCTCTGTATATCTGCCTTTCCAATAAAAACAATAATAATAAAAATAAATCTTTAAGAAAAAAGAAAGAAAAAAGAAAAAAAAAGTTAATTTTGTTGGGAAAATCTGAAATCCATGCATAGTGTTTTCATAGTGCATGTTTTCCGTAATCTTGAAGATCCTGCCTAGGCATGGAGTTTAACTATTTTTGCCTCAGTGGCCTTTTTTGAAGTACCTTCAGTTACACAGGTACCACTGTGCAAACCAGACAGCCTCAGCCAGGCAGCTGGAAGTTTTCAGCTTCTATGGATGCTCAGTTGTCCCAAAGGGACATGTTTTACACTGCTAGAATACCCTAAAGGATTCCTCAGGCTGCAGCCCTGGGGCTGCGAGGGACCAGGAGGGCAGGAGAGGCACAGGTACGGAGGGGAGGGAATCCCTGGAGAGAAAAGGAGGGGAAAGCGCCAGGCATGAGAGTGTCTGCGTTTGGACTCTTCAGGATGCCATCTTGCAGGCCTCAACCTTCCCTCCCGGGAAATGGCTGGCCCCAAAGGAAGACCAGGAAAGGGAGAGGGTGTCTCCTCTTGGCCCAGCCTCCCCTCACTCCCATCCAGATCATGGGCAGGGGCGGGGCAAGGGCAGCCAAGGCTGGGGCTCTCCCCTCTGCCACCGTCAGCCCGAGGGAGCTGACACGCTCCTTGGGAATTTATCACGCACCCAATTACAATGTTAATTGGCAAGTTCCTGAAATCAATTAATTCGCAAATTTTTTCCAATTAAAAATCCAGATAAATCACGAGGGCGGCTGGTGAGCCGGTCCAGCCCGCAGTCCGGTGCGCGTAGCGGCCGGCCGCGGGGAGCGGGGGAAGGGCGGAGGAGGGGGCGGCGGGCGCGGCTGCCCTTGAACGCCTTTGCCGGCTGGTCCGACTGTCAGTGCGCCGGGCGCGGCGGGGCTGAGACAGATAAAACCATCGACCCGTCGCTGCCAGCGCTTCGGCTTTATCGATCCAACGGGAATTTCACTTGCTGTGCAGATCCCGCGGCCCGGGCTGTCAGACAGCAGCCAGGGGTGGGGTGTGTTGGGGGAAGGGGCGTGCCGGGGGGGCGCAGGGCGCGCGCCCGTGCAAGGGCCTCCGGTGGAGAGGGCGTCGGGTGGGGCCGCAGGTGAAGGCGCTGAAGTACTTAGTAAGGACCTTGGTCGCAACCCAGAGGGATGTGGAACAGGTGTGGGGTTTGGGGTGTAGCTGTGGGCATGGGCGCTGCACACTGGAAGGCTGTGGCGAAGTGAGGGACTTTTGCAGGGTCATGGGGGAGGTTGGAACAAGGCAAGGGTGGATACTACAGGCTGTGCAGGAGCGGGCATCACTTCCCAGACAGCAGAGAGCATATTCTCCAAGTGCTTGGGGCACCTGCTGCTAAGATGTTCCACAGGTCCCTCCATCTCTGCCTCTATTTCCCATGCTGTTGGGGAATCCTTTGTTAGGCACAAATTACATGAAACTCCTGGACAGCCAAGGTATGGCCATCCTGCAGGAGGACGCTTCTTTCACAACCAGGGTCCCTGGTAGGTTCATCTCCCTGCTGTGTGAGAATGCTGGGATTGGGGGTCCCCTTGCTTGGGCTTGAGTCTGATCTTTCCCACTTAGGAACCATGCCAACCTCAGAGAAATCCCTTAACTGTCCTGGACCTCAGTTTCTTCAACTGTGAAGTGGGAGTGATAATGACATCCAGTGCCACATGATACTGTTTTGGTCCAGGTGTAACTGGCCTTAGATGTCACAACCATGTGGTAGCTTGTGGAAATACAGTTACTCAGTGATGGTCACACAATGACAAAATCACCTAGTAATCTGCACCTTTGGTGACACATGACTGCAGAATCTGCTTTGGAGGGTTGTTATGAAGATTACCTAACGTACTGAGTGTTCAACAGGACTACCATGGTCATTGCGCAATCTTTGGGGGTGGTTTTAAAGTACACCTAGAGAATCTCTGCTGTTCCTTCCTCCAGAGTTAGAATTTAGAGAAGGAATTCTTCTCCCTGGAGTATGGGCTGGGCATGGAGACTTATTCAAGTAGTTAGAATATAGAATAGAATAGAATAGAATAGAATAGAATAGAATAGAATAGAATAGAATAGAATAGAATAGAATAGAATAGAATGGGAGAGAATGGGAGAGAAGAGAAGAGGAGAGAAGAGAAGAGAAGAGGAGAGAAGAGAAGAGAATATGGTGGTGGTGATGGTGTGTGACTTCCCAGGCTAACTCATAAAAGACAACTGCAGCTTCCTCCTTCATCTTTCTCTTAGAGAGACTGAGACGTGCTCTTGAAGCCACTGCACTGCTGTAGGGAAATTCAACAGCCTCACAGAGAGAAGCACACATTGCGACAGTGGCCATGCATTTAAGCCATCTTGGGGGTCAGGCCTCACAACCCCAGTCAGGCCTACTGATGACTGGGTCTCATGAGAGACAGCCAGCAGCCACAGCCCACACCCCTTAGCTCCTGAACTGATGACCCACAGAGGCCAAGATAACAAATGTTTGTTGTTGTAAGCCACTAGGTTTGAGGTAATCTGTAACACAGTGATAGATGACTAATACTTCTCTCTTCCAAATTCAGTCCAGGCCCTGACTCCCTCAGGAAGCCTCTGTGCTTTGTTCAGGGATTTGAGGGCTCCTGGATATTCCACCTCCACCCCGGTGGCCATCCCAATGACATTCTCTATCCCTCAGGGCTCATGTTGCCTTCTTGTATACCCCTATGAGCTTTCCAGGGCAGTGATAATTCTGTATCCTGAGTATGCTGTGTGGGCATGGAAGATGGCAGGTGGGGTGGGGGGACATTGGTCAAGTGTGCAATCCTGGGCTGAACAAGGGGCCAAGCGACAGGACACTGGGAGTCCCAGGGCAGGTCACTCCCATTGTACACATCAGATTTCTCAAAGATGGCTGCAGTCTGATCTCCCATTTCCATCTTGCATGTTCCTCCTCTTCTTTTTCCTATTAACTTGGTAGCTGATCCCACTTGGTTTTAGTGTTTAAATTATTTGAGGCAGAGAGACAGAGATTCAATCCTCTGGCTCACTGTCTCAGTGCCCACAGTTCAGGTATCTCATATGGGTGACAGGAACCCAACAATCGAGCCATCATTGCTACCTCCCAGCTTCTGCAGTAGTAGGAAGCTGGACTCAGGAGTGGAGTCAGAATGCAGGCATCTTTACTGCTAGATCAAATGTCAGCTCTCCACACTGTCCTCCTATGAGATAACCTTGCCACTCTTCCCATCTGAGGGGTAGGGGTGGGGGTACATCTGTCCCCTCCTCTTGAATCAGGTGGGTCAAATACTGCCTTGGTCATCAGCTTACAGTAGGCATGATGTTAAGTGACTTCCAAGGCTAGGTCACCCAGGGTAATGCAGCTTGCACTTCATGGGCTGGAACACCTGTGTTGGGAGCCCTAAGCTGCTGTGGAGGATGTCCAGCTACCACAGAGCTGCCAAGCTGAGCAAATCAAGCTACATGGAGCTGTGCGCAGGGGCACTGGTTCCAGCTGACAGCAACAACCACTAGGCACATGAGTGAAGGAGCTTCCAGATGATTCCAACCCCTGTTACAGAGTCTTCCCTGCTGAAGCTCCAGACATCCTGGAGTGAACACAAACCATCCCCTCTATGCCTGGTCTGAACCCCTGGTCCTCCAGGGGTCCACAAGTGTGAGGGAATGGTGACTTCAGAAAGCCATGGTTGATATAGTCGTTTGTCACCCCTTCCTGGGCTCCCTTCTATTGCCTGGCTCCTCCCCAAAGCCTAGGAGGAGGCTATGCCTGGCCTAGTGTTTTCAGGTAGTAAGAAGGGAGGGTTCCTGGGCAGGTAGAGCAGGAACACAGCAAGCACATTCCTAGATGTCACCTTTCCAGGCTATGGTCACAGAAGAGGTGGTGCTCACTCACTTGGGGGGTAGGCCCACACCACACTCCTTCCTAGTGGGGCTGCCAGGCCCAGAGCCAGTTCTTTTGTCCTGCCCTAACATGGCAGTGCCAGACCTGTGCAGTAGCTCATCCCCTGACCAGCTCCTCTGTGGCTCTTTTGAGGCTGGGAGCCTGGAATCAACTCTCCTCCAATCTCCAAAAAATGAAGCAAGAAGAAAAAGGCAGCACTGTTGATCTGGAGGATGCAGGGATTGGAAACAGAGCAGCAGGAACAGTGGCAGGGTGTTGTCTACTCCCTAAAGATCCAGGATGGCAATGGGGGACAGTGCAGGTGCTGTTCCTGGGACCCACTGACCCGGGGGTGTGACAGCAGGTGGATTCCTTTGGCAGACTTACCTGGCAGGCAGTTGGGCCAGCTGTTCAAGCTCCTGCTCCATGTGCTCCTGCAGCTCGCTGGGCCTCAGCAGGACCTGGCAGATGGGGCAAATGGGGGCCTGGCTGTCAAACAATGCTGCTGCCTTCTTCTTACCTGGTGAGGGACAAGAACACACAATACGTGAGGTGGGTTCATCCATGTGGAAAGATTCATGGCTTAGTCCTCCAGTCTGCTGCTGCCCTCTGGGGCTTCCTGAATGACAGGTGGGGGAAACCTGAGGGTCTCTGAACCCTCCAGCATCATTCCTCTTTACAGCTGCAGGCTGTGGCCACAAAGGATGCCATCTCAGCCAGCTGTCCCTCTTGGAGACCTGCTTGGACACCACGAGTGTTCACTTTGATCAGACCTGGGTTGCTCCATTCACACGTGCTCACTCACACCATCACCCAATGTCTCCAGGGCCCTTCTGTTTCTCTCCTTTCTTCACTGCTTTCACATCCCCCAGAACTGGAGGAGAGAGGGAGAGACAGGGACTCATTTCTTCAGTCATTCCACAAACATTTCCTGTTGCATACCCTGAGCCAGGCCCAGCGTAGAGCAGAAAAGCTTATCTAGTCTCTGCCCCTGAGACCCTCACAGTCAAGTGAGAAAAACCTAAAGAGACTAGGGGACATCCAGGGTAGCCTTTTCCCCAAGGCTCCACCCTCACCTTCTGTTGTCTGTGTTCTGTGTATAGAATGATCTTGTTTTGTCCATGGCCATGACCCTGTTTACTATATCTATGCCCTGTTTACTATAAACTCTGTCTCTACTACCAGCTTCTTATATACAGATGCCTACTGGGTTCCAGGCCTGGATGTCCCACAAGAATCAGAATCCCATCCATCCAAAACTGAGTTCTTCAACTTCTTCCCCTTCCTAAACCTATTCCTCCCTCGATAGTTCTTTTAGCACCCGAAGATGCCTTTGTTCATCTGGTCACCCAAGCCAGTAACCACAGCCTCAACGCAGGCCCTCCCACTCTCCTTCTCACATTCATCTAAGCACATATCCTATCCATTCTACTTCTTCAATGTTCCTGCAACTGCTGGTTTCCCTGTTCAGGTTTCACCACTTCCCACTTGAATAAACCTCTCTGGTCTCTTGAATCTTACTGATTCAACACACCTGTCAAATTGTGTGCCCCCAGTACATAAGGGATGATAGGGAGCTTGAACAGCATTCCCAACTTGCCACTGATAGGAACCAGAACACACCATGGCTGGAAAGTTGTCCTGTTCCTCTCCCTGGAAATGCCTAAACCTTTTCTCCTGCCACTCGTCCCCACCCAGGGTTCCACCCAGCCTCCACTTACAAGCAATGGGGTTCGGGAAACAGGTTCCATCTGCTGATTCACTTCCTAAGTAACTGCAATGGCCAGAGCTGAGCTGATCCAAAGCCAGCAGCCAGCAATTCTAACAGGGTTTCCCACGTAGGTGCAGGGTCCCGAGGTTTTATGCCATCCTCCACTGCTTTCCCAGGCCAGAAGCAGGGAGCTGGATGGGAAATGGAGTAGTCAAGACACGAAGCCTCGGATCCCAGAGCTTGCAAGGTAAGGATTTAGCTACTGAGCCATTGTGCTGGGCCCAAAAATAAATCAATCTTGAAAAAAAAAAAAAAAAAGACTTACACACCCACACACATCTCCTATTCACTGGTTCCCATCCCAGTGTGAACAACAATGACAACTGGCAACAATGGCTTGGGCTTGGCTAGGTTGAAATCTGGAGCCTGGAACTTTACTGGGGTCTCCCACATGGGTCCAGGAACCCAAATATTCTGAACAGCCTCTACTGTTTTTCCCAGGTGCAGTAGCAGGGAGCTGGATCAGAAGTGGAACACCTGGGACTTGAACTGGTCCTCATCTTGGATGCCAGAGTCACAGAAAGCGGCAGCCTAACTCACTGAGCCACAAAGGACCATTTCTGAATGATCTTCACACTTACAGACAATTCTCAGCAGCCCTGGCACAGAGTGGATGCAAACTGATGATGTGAGTGAGCGGAAAAGAAGAAGGGAAGAAAGCAAGGTGGAAAGGAAGAGCATCTTCTCCTGAAAGCTAGATACCATTTCCCTATTTGGAAGCCAGCTGTGCAAGCGTGGTGTTTGCCAGTGTGGGGCAGGGCTGGCTGCAGCCTGGGCCATGGGCCTCTAGGGGTGACAGGGCCTCTTGACTGTGGGCTTTGCTGGCTGTGCTGCAGGTGCTCACAGGACAGTGGGGAGGCTGTTGAAGCAGGTGAATAGGCTGCAGGAAGGTGGCTCTAGAAGCCAGCGAGGCCCAGAGCTGGGAGTGGGATATGAGAAAGAATCCCAGCTCTGCCCCTGGTCTGGCTGAGCCAGAGAATCTCAGAAGGAGCGAGACCCTTGAAATTCCCCAGACCATTAACTTTACAGACGGGAAAACCAATACTTAGAACTGGCTACAGATTCCCATGCTCGGCTCTTGCACACGTATCTTCAATTATTTATTCATCCAGTCCTCATTAAAAAGCTATTCAATGCTATGTGTTATTCTAAGAGAATCTGGGGCTAAGGAATAAATACAATACATTGTTGGCTACTAGGAGAACTCAGATTAATGAGAAAGGCAAGAGGGAAAAGTTGGTGATTCCAGTAGTTGAGTCTATAGCTGGAGCTGTGAAGAGAACTTTGGGAGGACAGGCAGTGCCCAGAGGGACCTGAAAAGTTCCAGGAGGTTCCAAAGGTATATAAGAGAATGAGGTAGCGGGCCCAGCACGGTGGCGCAAGTGGTTATGGTCCTTGCCTTGCACACCCGGGATCCCATATGGGTGCCAGTTCTATCCCGGCAGCCCCGCTTCCCTTCCAGCTCCCTGCCTGTGGCCCAGAAAAGCAGTCGAGGACGGCCCAAAGCTTTGGGAACCTGCACCCGCGTGGGAGACCCGGAAGAGGCTCCTGGCTTTGGATTGGCATAGCATCATATCAGCCGTTGCGCTCACTTGGGGAGTGAATCATCGGACGGAAGATCTTCCTCTCTGTCTCTCCTCTCTGTATATCTGCCTTTCCAATAAAAAAATAATAAAAATAAATCTTAAAAAAAAAAGAGAATGAGGTAGCTGGAGTGGATCATCAAGCCCAAATCTGGGCTGGGCTGGGCTGGGAGAAATGACAACAGGGGATGGTGATGGCGACAGAGCAGCAGCAAGGACATGGGTCTGAACTGAGACTGCCGACACCAGAGCTGGCAAGTCATGCTTCCTGGAGTCCAGACCCCTCTCTCCAAACCTGGAGGTCAAAAATCAGCAGATCTCAGCCTGCCTGCATTGCTGCCATGGTCAGCTGTCGCTTTTCTGAGCTTGGTCTCCACCTCCCTATTGGGATACCTCGTCCTGCTCCAGCAGAGGGATCCAAGAGTCCATGCCCTCCATCCCACCCCCATTTTCTCAGAGGTTAGAATGGCAGGTGTCAGCACGGCCAAGGACCCCCTGCCTCCCCTCCCCCACTGTGTTCCCTATAATTTTATATTGAGACCTGTGGTCATGACGTGGGTTTTACTGCACTAACGACATGGCCTGCCTCAATTTAATGATAAAATCCATACTCTGGCCCTGGGCCTGCTCCTCGTTTGCATAATTCCCAGAATACAGCTCCCTGAAGCTTTTGACCTGGGCCATTACAGTGGCCATAAAATGGGCCATAAAACCACTGGGGATGGCCAAGAGGAGGGGGCTGTGGTCCTTTCTGGGGAGAGAAGGAAGCCCACAGCCCCCTATTCCTCATAGGCTTAGGAGGAGGTATCCTCTGGCTCTTCCCTCCTTTGGTTCCCAGAATCTGAGAGTCCATCTTGGGCTGGCCAGGCTCCCAGAAATTCCTGGTCTAGCTGCCCATGGCTGTGTCACAGGGAGGCTGGCTGTCAGCAAACATCAATTACCCTGTGGGGTCCACACTCCTGCCCAGCCCCTTCAACCCTCCCCCCCCCAAAAGCTGGCCAAGGCTATTTGCTACAGGTGGTTCTGGGTCAGGTAGGCATGCTTCAAATCCTGTTCCTCTCTAGGATGCCTCGCTCCGTGGGGAGGTCAGGAGCCGGGCTGAGCAGTGCAGTGGGGACCACAGGGAGCAAGAGGGGCTGGGGACAGGGACTGGGACGGGCTGTCAGTGCTAAAGATGATGAATGGGGGAGGTGAGGCGGGAGGCCCGGTGTTATCGGTGGTGGATGGCGGGCGCGCGGGCGCTCGCCGCTCCTGCTAATCCCCGGGCGCTGCCTCAGCCCTTGCACTGATAACGAGGAAATGGGACTGACAACAATTTTTAGCTGAGAGATTCTTCACCAAAATGCCAGGCGGCCGGAGGTCTGACAGCGCCTGATTGAGTGTGTGAGTGTGTGGGGGGAACGCCTGCAACCCCCTCTGCGCCCATGCAAAGATGGATCGCTCATTCCGCCTCCCGTCCACATTCATTACCGCGCCGCCTCCCCACCACCCCAGCTGCCTCCGTGCCTGCCACCTCCACTTCTCTATCTGCCGCCCACGGCAGCCCCGAGCAGGAGTTAGCTAGGGTCTGGAGCGGCTGGCCCTGTCCTGGGCTGCATACAGAGCACCTGAGGTTCAGGGAGCAGACAAGTGACTTGGGTGGAGGCAGAGCAGGGCCAGGGGCTGAGCCAGAACTGTGGGGTCCTTGGCCTGAATACTCCCTGGCTGTGGGACCTCCAGAGGTCAGCACTAGGACACTGTCCTTGGAGGACAACACTGAAGCTCCAACAGGAAGTGATCACCTGTAAGCTGGGGGGTTGGGAGGAGGGGAAAGGACTATTGAGTGCAAAGGAGAGGTCCTGCACATCTAACCTCCCAGCCTCCTCTGCTTGTGACCCAGGGGGCCGAGATCAGCCCTCTGCTGCCCTCCTCTGACCACTGGGGGCAGCCAACTCAGGGGCCAGCACATGCTATTCTTTCTCTGCCACCTTCCTCAGGGAATAACTGGATAGAGAAGATGCGGGTTTTACGTACAGGCACAACCCCCTGCCCTCCAGTCCCAGACCAGACCACTATCCTATGCAGGCAATGCCCTTCACATGACTGCCTTTTGGGCTGTATAGTCCGGGATAAAGCCCCCCGGACGTCAGGGTACAAGCTAGTCAACCCCCAGAGAACAAGAGTCTC